CGGGGGCTCTGAAGGGTGGTGGTGGAGTGAGGTGGCCCTGGGGGCGCAGGGCTGTGGCCCTTGGATGGATGCATGCTCTCTGTCTTTCAGGGCCCCAGAGGGCAGCGAGGGCCACGAGGAGCCACTGGGAAATTGGGAGCCAAGGTGAGCCTGATGATGATGGGAGACTTGGAGGTAGACTGCTCCTGAATCTGGAGGTTCCACGTTGAGAGGGAGAGCGGGAGGGAGGGAGGGAGAGGAAAGTGATCGATTTTTTTTTGAAATGCGAAAGAAAAATCTGGAGGAGAAAGGAAGTCGATTGTGCATCCGGCTCGTGTATTTGTGCATGAGAAACTGGCACATTTGCCCAAACCATTCTCTGCGCACGGAAACCACAACGTCCGGATTTCTTCTGCGCGGACAGGCCGTTTCTTCCTTCCACCACACCACTCAGCCTTGGTGCAAGGAGAGGGACGGTTTTCACACTTAGTGATGGTGCAAATCCTCCCACGTGGTTCTCTCTTACGCCGATGCCGAGAAGCTCAGGCATCTGGTGGGTTGACTGTGGGCACAGGCGTCCCTGACCTGCATCCTGACCTCTCTCTCTTCTCCCCCCCCAGGGCACCTCTGGTGGCGAAGGGCCCTCGGGTCCCCCAGGCGAACGGGTAAGCCGAGGCTCCTGATTTGGGCGGGTCCAGGAGACGGGACGGTTAGATTTTGCAGCAGAAATTCAAATCCAGGAAGCCCACCCAGATGACTGATTCAGCAGGATTCATTCACTTGTTTATATACATCATAATATGAATAATCAGTTTCCAAACAGTCCTCATTGGCTGACTTAGTTGCTATGCCTATTCATTGGCTGTTACCATGCTCTATTCCAGTTCATTAATACTCTGACATGGACACCTGGCCGTAAAACACCTGGTGAAAAGATAGCTCCCCTGGCCCTCCGTGCTCCACCATTGGGGGGCTCTGGGCTGGAGGAGGATTGGGGAGGGGGGGTCTGTCTGGAAGAGGCTGAGTGGGTTCAAGAGCCCCAGAGGCCATAATCCTTTCCAAGCCAGGGCTGCTGAGCTCCGCCTGGAGGTTCTGACTTCCAATTTGGGTCTAGCTTTGTGGGGGGCACTGTCCTGACCCCAACCTGGTTCCAAGGAAACCAACACCAAACAGAAGTAACAGCAAAACCTTTTAATGATCCTTTACGAATTCCGTTCCTTCCCGGTTAAAAGGCTGTTTCAAACGAATTGTCTCTGATAAGGACGAGCCTTGCCAAGGTGGTACAAGGCTGCCAAGAACACGAGATAAAGTTGCTAAGAAATATTTCAAACAGAAAGAGTCTCCAAACACAAACTAGGAGAGTCCGAACATCCACAAGGCTTGAGTGCAAAAACTTCTTTGCTTCCTGCAAAGAGCTCCAGTTTCTCAGCTGGCTTTTATCTCTTAAGGGAGCGGCCATTACCTTGCAGCCTTACTCCTGAGTGGTCCGTGCTGCAGCAGCTGCTCTTTCTTTCGAGCAGCCCTGTGCGCATGTGCACTGGGCACAGGCTCCTCGGGGACCTCTTCATCATTGCTGCCAGCCTCCACAATCTCCGAAGGCAGCACCCCACTCTCTGATAGTCCTGGCCCCATCCCTGCATCACACACAGGCCCCTCATCTGAGTCCTCGCTCTCCAAAACCTCAGCCGTCCACACCTGCTGCCTGCAAACCACAACAGGCACCCTGGCATGACCCCTAATAGGGGTCTCTCCTCCTCTTCCTCCTCCTGCAGGGGCAACCAGGAACTCAGGGGCCGAATGGATTCCCCGGACCAAAAGGCCCCCCGGTAAGTCACGAAACCCTCATCTCCTCTGTCCTTCCCTCCCCCCACTCTCTCCCCCACACACCACTGACTCTGCCCCCTTTCTTTGTCCACAGGGCCCCCCTGGCAAAGATGGGATGCCCGGCCACCCAGGACAGCGCGGAGAAGTGGTGAGCGAGAGTCCCCCAGGCAGCTGCTTCCCCCCCATGGGACGATGTGGGGGGCCCAGGAGCCTCTCCCCAAACCCTGCCCCCCCTCAACATTTCAGAATTTGCATTTCCACTCTGCCTTTTTCCTAAAAAATAAAATAAAAATCAGTCTTTATTTTAAATTTTGAAAGCCTGAGATCAGTGGTGGGAATCAACCGGTGTAACAACCGCTTTGGTGCGCATGTGCACAGTGCATTTAAAATCAGCTCTAAAACTTAGCTTATCTTCAGCCCCGGTGACTAAAACAGTGGAGGCATGGCAATCCACTTGGCCGCGTCGATCAGCCGGGCTTCAAACAAAGGAAATATAGCACAGACTACCGCAGGGGTGGGTGGACAGGGCCAACTCATCACGGGCACTACCCGGTTCATTCAAACCGGTCCGAACCGGCTGAATCCCATGTTGTAATGACGAGACAGTCTAGTTGTTTGATCATGAACAACTGAATCATGATGAACTTTATTGGAGTCTAGTCTTGCATTTATACACATTTTTAGTTATCCTCCATCACTGGTTAACTTTGGTTACTGCTTAACTTTGGTTACTGTTTAGTACAGTAATCCATACAATTAATTATCTCTAGTTAAAGTCTAACATATGTTTACTTCCTCTCTCTAATCCTCCTTTAGATGAGTGACTTTGTTTGCCTGAGTTGTATTTGCTTGGAAACATTCTTTATCTGAGGTTTGCCATCCGAGATTGGAACATTCCTGCAATTACAACTCTACAATCCCATCCGTGCCTGAGATCGACTTTTTAGATTGATATTGATGTCTGAATCAAAATGGTTCTTTTCCTTTTCCTCCAGCATCCAACATTTGAGATTGATGCAATCATTGTGTGTGTGTGTTTTTTTTAAAGCCAATTTCCTGGAGGTTTTATTTAGGACTGTTTGTGAACTCAAGCCTGCCTCACAGGGTTGGATTTTTTGGGGGAGAGGCACTAGGATGGGGGAGCATTAAGCAGGCCACCTTCAGCTGTGCAGGATGGAAGTGTGATCTAGAATCAGGGGTCTCCACCCTGGGCCCCTTGAAGACTGGTGGACTTCAACTCCCAGAGTTCCTCAGCCAACAAAGCTAGTCTCCAAAACCAGGGGCATGGAGAAGAAGAGGTCCCTTGAGCACGTGCCGAGTTCTGAATACAGGCCTCTTGCTAGTAATTTATTACATTGATTGGCTTGTTTGATCTATATCAGGGGTCCCCAACCTGGGCCCCTTTAAGACTGGAGGACTTCAACTCCCAGAATTCCTCCTGGCTTTGGAGACTAGCTCTGCTGGCTGAGGCATTCTGGGAGTTGAAGTCCCCCGGTCTTAAAGGGGCCACGGCTGGAGACCCCTGATATAGATCGCACAAGCCAATCAATCTAATAAATTACTAGCAAGAGGCCTGTATTCAGAACTCTTCAGTGCACTCGGCACATGCTCAAGGGACCTCTTCTTCCCCATGCCCACCCCCAATCTACTCCTGGGTTTGGAGACTAGCAGGGAAGACTGTGGCTTTGAGAGGGTTCCGGGTGCAAATTCCAGTCTAGGCCCGGGTCAAACACTGCCAACCAGTCTTTGAAGAGGCTCAGCCCTGGTTGGGCCCAGTTAAGAGGGGAGGAAGGGGGTTTTCACTGCCCCCACCACCACGCTCCCTCGCCACCCTCTCCTCTCCTGTCTTCCAGGGGCTGCAAGGCAAGGCGGGCTCCCCAGGCGGGCCCGGCGTCGTGGGGCCACAGGTAACGGATGCTCCCGGAAAGGGGGCAGGGGTGGGAGGGAGGGAGGGAGGGGAGGGGAGGGGCAGGAGCCCTTCAAACTCTCTCCAATCCCTGCTGCTTTTTCCAACAGGGTTCCGCAGGGGAAACGGGCCAGATGGGGGAGAGGGGCCACTCGGGGCCCCCAGGGCCTCCAGGAGAACAAGGCCTGCCAGGGCCCTCCGGGAAGGAAGGGACCAAGGTAACACATGGTGGCCAGCCGGCCAGGTGCTTCTTGCCACCCCTCCGTCCCCACTCCCCTCCTTTGCCATGGCCCCCACAGAGGGAGGTCTCCAGGGGTTCCAGGCATGGGAATCCCCTCTCCCCCCCTTTTGTGGCTGCTGTCCCTCATCCACGGGGCCCACCCTGCGAGGGGAGGTTTGGCTGTGCAGATGATCGGGGGGGGGCTGGGGTCCCGGGAGGGCGGGGAACATTGTGACGTTCCGGTGTGTCTTTCAGGGCGACCCAGGAACCAGCGGAGGCCCCGGAAAGGACGGACCCCCAGGGCTGCGGGGCTTCCCCGGAGAGCGAGGCCTTCCCGGCACTGCTGTAGGTCCCTGGCCTCCCTCTGCAGGGGACGGTTGTTGGGGGGGGGCCTCCATCTGCGGAGGGAGCAGGAAGAGGAAGTCCCTACAGAGACTCTCTCGCTCTCTCTTTTCCTTCCTTCCTTCCTTTCTTCCTCCCTTCCTTTCTTCCTTCCTCCCTTCCTTTCTTTTCCTTCCTTCCTTCCTTTCTTTTCCTTCCTTCCTTCCTTCCTTTGGTTTCTTTCTCTCCTTTCTTTCCTTGTCTTTCTCTCCCTTTCTTTCTTTTGTTCTTCCATTTTTCTCTTTTTTCTTTCTTCTCTTTCTTCTTTCTTTCTTTGTTTTTTCTTTCTTTTCTTTCTTTGTTTCATCCCCCTTTCCCTTTCCTCTATTTCTCTCTTTTCTTTCTTTCTTTTCTTCCTTCCTTCACTTGTTTTCTTTCTTCTTTCTCTCCTTTCTCTCCTTGTCTTTTTCTTTCTTTCTTTTGTTCTTTTTCTCTTCTCTCTTTTTCCTTGCTTTTGTTTCATCCCTCTTTCCCTTTCCTCTCCTTCTGTCTCCTTTCCTCCCCCTCTCTCTTTCTCTTTCTTTCTTTCTTTCTTTCTTTCTTTCTTTCTTTCTTTCTTTCTTTCTTTCTTTCTTTCTTTCTTTCTTTCTCTTTCTTTCTTTCCCTCTTTCTCTCTTTTTCTTTCTTTCTTTCTCTCTTTTTCTTTCTCTCTTTTTCTTTCTTTCTCTTTTTCTTTCTTTCTCTCTTTCTTTCTCTCTTTCTCTTCTTTCTTTCTTTCTTTCTTTCTTTCTTTCTTTCTTTCTTTCTTTCTTTCTTCTTTCTTTCTTTCTTTCTTTCTTTCTTTCTTTCTTTCTTTCTTTCTTTCTTTCTTTCTTTCTTCCTTTCTTCTTTCTTTCTTTCTTTCCTCTTATCCCTTCTGCCCCTCTCTTCCCCTTTGGGCATCTCTGGGGCCAAGAGGGACCCCCCAGGGAGAGCCAGACAATTCTTAGAAGGGGATGGGTCTGGCATGACCAGACATGGCTGGGCAGGGGGAGAGAGGAGGGAGGCACCTGTAACCATCCCACTCAGGTCTAAAGGGGTCCTTGGTCCCCATGGAAATGTTACCTGGGCTGTCTGGAAAACAGAGTTAGTTGAGTTGCTTTCCCAACTAAAAGGCCCTCTCTGAGAAGTCAGCGATGGACTCGGGCCCTGCATTTGCAGAGCTGGAGGCACTTTAGAGACCATCTAGTTTAGCCCCTGGTCCAAGCTGAGAGACAGAGAGAGAGAGAGGGCCTCCCGGCATCCAAGTAGCTCAGGGCTAGACTGCTACTGAGCTGGAGGTTTCATCAGTACGCCACGGCTGGCAGCCACCCTCTGTCCTGAATCTCCCAGCCCTTGTTGGATTAAGAGGGTGTGGGAAGAAGGACTCTCTCTCTGCCCCCCTTTCTCAGGTCGGACCCCCGCAAAGCCCCCCCTCCTTCCTCTCCCTTCTCCCCCTCAACCTGGTTGGGCTCCAGGGCCCCCTCCTCCCCCAGGCAGTGGGGCAGAGGGAGGGCTTGCAGGCAATAAAGGGCAAGCCTCAGGGTGGGCTGAGGGGAAGAGGACCCCAGGGGTGGGATTCAAGTTTTTTAACAACCGGTTCTGTGGGTGTGGCTAAGTTGGTGGGCGTGGCTTGATGGTCATGTGACTGGCTGGGCGTGGCCAACTCAACATCACTCACATTGAGGCACGCATCTCCTCGCCTGGCCTCTCATGACTGTGGGGATACTGCAACAGTCGTAAGTGTGAAAAATGGTCATAAGTCACTTTTTTCAGTGCCATTGTAACTTTGAATGGTCACTCCACACAAGCAAAGTACCAGCAAAGGAGGGGAAAAAACCTCCAGAGAAGTTCCAGTGACAGGAAGTCTAGTCCTGCCAAGAATGTAATCAGGGTTAATGGAGAGGCAGTTTCTGTAAGCAACACCAGAATGTTTCCTTCCTGCCTTCCTTACAGGATTAGCCCAGTAATTTCTTCTGACTACCAGTTCTCTGAACTGCTTAGAATGTTAACAACCGGTTCTAGCGAATAGGTGCGAACCTGTAAAATCCCACCCCTGGAGGGCCCCTTTTCCCACAAGGCCAGCAACCAGCAGGGGGGCCTTTGGGGGTGGGGGTGTCCTGCTGACCCCTCCTCCTGGAGAGCCAAAATCCAGATCCGCCATATGGCCAGCTTCAGTTGGGGTCAACAGCTACCTGCCTGTCTGGGGGTGCTCCAAAGGGCACTCTCTTCTGAGTTGGGGCCTATCAGCAATTGGCTCAGGGGCCCCTCTTAGAGCCCCCATCCCTGGAAGAGAGAGGGGGGATTTTGGTCTGCTCCCCCATCCTTCATCTGGGAGAGAGCCATCGAAGGCAGGTGGGCCAACTCAGCCTCTTCTCTTCCTGAGCAGGGTGGCCCTGGACTGAAAGGCAACGAGGGACCTGCCGGCCCCCCAGGACCAGCGGTGAGTATTTCAGGGGCCCCTCCCTTTTGGTCACAGAGGGATCCGGCAGCCAGGTCCCTCTTACCGGATCGCGATCTGTGGTTTGACCTCCGGGATACAATCAGACATTGCAAATCTCCAGATCCTTCTTGTACCTGCGCTGGGCAGCTTCTTTGCAGACCCTTCCCTCCTCCACCAACCCCCACTTCCCCCAAGGCCAGGGGACTGCGGTGGGAAGGAGGGAGGGATCCAGCCTCAGCCCCCCCCATAATGGACCCTGTGATGAACCAAGGTGGGATACAAAAGCAACAAAGTCATAAAAACAGGTGAAGTCCCTTTAATTTCTGGCTTCAAAGGTCCAATTATCATTGACTGGAGAAAAAAACTCCCCCACAAACAGTTGTGAAAAGGAAGAAATGCCGTTCAGGCTCAAAATACATATAAATGATAAATAGATAAAAAAAAACAACACAAAGCACACTGAAGCAATTAATGAGGCAAGGCAGGATAAGGGCTTGAAGACGTCCACCGATATTGAAATACACACACTGGGAAGGACTCCAGAACTGAGATAAGAACTGACAAACTAGACATATTTTCACGCTTTGCTTCCAGCACTGGCCCATGCGCAGTTTGTCCTTATAAGCAGTCCTCACAGCTGCAGCTCATGAAGGGGATCAGGGCCCTTTCCTCCCCTGTAGACCACACCATTTACGTTTCTCCCTTATCCTCTCCTCCCTGCATTCCCTAGGATGAAGAGGGGATGGGCCTGGGTCTTCATCTGACTGCCCAGCCGCCTCTGCCTTTCCCCAGTTTCCTCCACAACCTCCAGAGCCACACTTCCACTCCCTGTCGGCTGTTCCTCCTCTCCCTCAGAGTCAGAATCCAACAGGGGCATGACAGGCCCAAAGGAAATAGGGAGTTCCCGCCCATCTTGAACCCTCCCAGGAGAAGATTTCCAAGCCTTTGGTCCCCACTGTCCCCCTGACTGCTTTCATCCTCCTTCGCTGGCTGGGGATGATGGGCTTCTGAGTGAGAGACAGGATCAGCATGAAAAATCTGCATTTGTGCTCATCGTGTCCAGGCTGGGGCTGACCACCTCTTTCCTTCTTCCAGGGATCTCCCGGTGAGAAGGGTCCCTCAGGATCAGGAGGCCCCATTGGGCCCCCAGGCAGACCCGGCCCCCAGGGGTCACCTGGACCGGCTGGAGAAAAGGGAGTGCCGGTGAGTGGAGGCAGATACCTTGTGTTGGTGGGGAGACGGGAAGAAGACATGAGGAAGTGGGGTGGGGTCTATGCGTGAAGAAGAAGGGGATGAGGAGCAGTGGACTAGCAGAGCAGGGCACTCCATCCTCTCAGCCTCAGTTTCTCTCTTCTCCCCCCAGGGTGAAAAAGGGCCCCTTGGCCCTGCTGGCCGTGATGGTGCCCAGGGCCCCATTGGGCTGCCCGGCCCTGCAGGACCACATGGTGGCCCGGGTGAGGATGGTGATAAGGTGAGTGGTTGGTGGGTTGACCCAGGTGGGCGCATCCCTGTCCTGCCCCCCTCCCCCAATTCCCTGGACCGAGCCTTCCTTTTTTCTGTCTGTCTCTGCAGGGAGAAGTGGGGGACCCGGGTCGCAAAGGGCCCAAAGGCGGCAAAGGCGAGCAGGTAAGCTGAGCCCCTGCGCTGGAATCGCAGTGGGGCGGCAGAGGGAGCCAGGGTCTGCAGCTGCGACTCTGCTTGTTGTGCAGCTGATAAGCTTCTCTTCCTCCTGCAGGGTCCCCCAGGGCCCCCGGGCGCTCTCGGTTCTCTTGGGCAGCCGGGTGCTGCGGTAAGTATCCGCGGGATTCTACGGGTGGCATACCTCGTTTCCTGTGGGTCTTGTGGTTGTACCTCAGGTCCTCTGGGCGCCACCCCTTGGGCGACTCTGGAGAGAGTCGCCACCCCTTGGCTTCACCCCTGGGTGCCAGCCCTTGGTTTCTGGGGAGACCCCTCTTGAAATGGGCAGGAGGAGAAGTGGGTTTGGCTCTCCTTTGGGTACGAGCTCTCCGATTGTCTCTTTCCATGCTGCCTTTAGGGGGCGGATGGTGAGCCTGGGGCCAGGGGCTCCCAGGGCAATTTTGGGACGAAGGGGGATGACGGCATCCGAGGATTCAATGGGGCGCCAGGACCGATTGGCTTGCAGGTAACAAACGGCCATGGCGAGGGTCACTCTGCTGCCCACTGTTGAGCTGGACGACGCTCACTCGCTCTTTCTCGACAGGGACTGCCCGGACCATCTGGGGAGAAGGGGGAGACTGGCGATGGGGGACCCCTGGTAAGTGCCACTGCCTTCCTCAAGGGGAATCCCTCCCAGACCCCCCGACACCCCCCCCCCCCATGTGGTTCCTGCCCAGCTCTGTTGTCAGGAAACGAGATGTCTGGACACTCATCAGTATTTTCTTGCAGGGACCCCCGGGACCTCCAGGACCACGAGGCCCAGCTGGGCCCTCCGGAGCTAGCGTGAGTGTGTCTCCCGCCCTCCTCTCCACCTGATTCCTTCCCTTAATGGATTCCCAGGGCTGAGCCCGGTTGCATATCTCTTTTTCCCACAGGGTCCGCAAGGCCCCCCAGGAGGGATCGGAAATGAGGGGCCACCAGGACAAAAGGTAGGTGAATTCTAGGGGAGGTTGGGTGTGGTATTTTGGGGGGGAGGCCCAGAGGTAGGGGTTTTCCAGGCTCCTTGGGGAGGATCCAACATCAGAGGTGGATCTTGACCATGATCCTTGTGGCTCTCTCTGCACAGAATCCTTCCTGTCCCGTGGGGGACACTGAGACCTCTTAGACCAGGGGTCCCCAATCCAGGGGCCACAGCCCATTCAGAACCGGGCTGCAGAAGTGTCAGGCGTGTACACCTGCATTTTTATTTGCGTGTGGAAAGGGTGGGCTTGCAAGTGCACACACACAGCCCCATTTGTGCAAGTGGTGGGCACACGTACATACCACTCACACAAATAGAGCTATGCACGCACACACTCATCCACCGATCACGTGGAACCATCCCCTCTGTGCCACCCCGCTGGTTCGCAAAGCCGGAAAGTTTGCAGATCCCCCGTCTTAGACGGATCAGCTCTCGCAACCTTTGCTTGCCCAGCCGGGCTGGACCATCCCTCCCATCATCCCCAACCAGAGGAGGGACAGTTCCCGCCCTCCCGGGAAGGCCACTTCAGGGCCAAAGATGGCTTTCCTTAGACGTATCAAGCGCATCGTTGGGACCACCGTGTCCCGGGAACCCAAGCGGTTGTCCGCAACCAGCTGACTCCACGGGACTTTGGAGGGTCAGGAGGCAAAACGTAGCTGAGGAACCCAACATGGGCCCGATCCACTAACCTCCCTTCTCCCATCCCAGGGCGAATCAGGAGAGCAGGGTGGACCCGGAGTCCCTGGAGAGCCCGGCCCGAAGGTGCGTCTCTTTTTTCTGCCCCCACGATTGTGTCGCTGTAAACTGCTGTGCCACCTAGGACTCCTCTTCCCCTCCTCCTGCCCTTCAGAGCCAGAGCAGAGCTCTGTGGGTCCCATGTGGAGCAGGCTTCACACACCTTCCTGCACATCAGAAGGGGCTTTGGGGCAGCAGGGTGCCCTGTTTTCCACGTCCTGCGTGGTGGAGAGGTATACTGCCTCTGCATCTGGAGGCTCCGTGTCATCCCCTCAACTCTAATAGCCCCTCCTCTCTCCTAAGGGCCCGCGAGGTGAGCAAGGAGAGAAAGGGGAAGACGGAAGCGCTGGTGTGGCCGGACCCCCCGGAGGGAGAGGCCCCGTTGGGGACGATGGGCCCAAGGGGAACCCGGTAAGGGAAGCTGCAGAAATGAGAGGGGCGGGGGGGGGGAGGCAGGAAGTCTGGGACTGCCTTCCCCACTCAACTCCTGTAGACTACAAGCCCTAGTAATCCCAGAACCAGATAAGAGATGGGATTTGTAGTGTAGGCTTGGGGAAACCTGTGTAGCCATTCTATTGGTAAATAAAGCTGACATTATGGCCTGTTTTGTCCAACTGTTCAAAAAAAAATTGTAGGTTTTTTTTGGGGAGGGGGCATCTACGGGTTAGATGAGGCTAAAAAGTGTGAAATTCAATGTTTATTTTTTTGGGGGGTGGGGAGAAATGGGAAGCCGGACTCTGGTGACCTTTGACTTTTCTCTGGGCACAGGGCCCGGTCGGCTTCCCTGGAGACCCTGGACCCCCTGGAGGAATCGGGCCCCGGGTGAGTATGACCCTCCCCTCTTGGCTGGGCCCTCCCCCTCTGAGCCTGTCCTCCGCTAAGGCCAAAAAAAGACCCCCAGACCCATGTGCCTCTCCCCACAGGGCCAAGACGGAGCCAAAGGCGAGCAAGGAGAAAATGGACAACCTGGAGAGGCGGTGAGCATTTTGGGGGTGGGTGGGAGGTTTAGACCCTAAGTGGGATGTGGCTGGGTCGAAGCCCCCCACCCACTTTCCAGCAGGAAGCGGGCCATGTCTGCCCCATGGACTCCCACTTACACCTCCCCCGATGGCCTTCTACTTATGCCCTGGAGCTTCAGTCGGTGGCTCCCTAACCTCTCCCCTTCATTTCCAGGGGTCTCCGGGACCATCGGGTGAGGCTGGTCCCCCTGGGCCACTTGGGAAGAGGGTAAGTTGGGCTCCACCCCATTGGGAGGGCAGGAGATGCCCCCCTCCCAACACACACAGGGGCCTGGGATGGGGAATCACAGGACACGGGGGAGAGAAAGGCAGCCAGGGCCCATCCAAGGCCCCCAGCAAAAGAAACCCCCCCACAAATCCGGAGTCGGGGACTAAATGCTTTTAGTCTGCTCCCCCCACTCCTTCAACTGTGGGGGGCCCAAGAAACCCCTCCCCTTCTTAAGGAAGAGAGAAAGGAAGGTCTCTGGACTGCGTCGGCCCCTGTTTCCTCCCAGTCCCCTCCCTCTCCAGAGGGAGAAAGACCCCCGGCCCACCGCGACCTTGTCTCGTTCTCCAGGGCCCCGCCGGAACTCCTGGCCCCGAGGGACGGCAGGGGGTGAAGGGCAAGAAGGTGAGTGGGGCTGCTTCTGAGGGGAGGAGGTCACCAGACCCCATGGAAGATTCCGGATGGCAGCTAAAACGCCAGACACCCTTCCCCTCCCCCTCAAGGGGCCCTGCGATCCCCACGGAGCGGGTCTTTTTCCAGGCAGAAAAGGAAGGGGGGTAGGAGAGATAAGGAAGGTTGGGTGGGGGTCCCAACTGCAGAGAAGGGGGCAGGGCTGCTATTAGGCAGGAGACCCCAGCCCTCCTCTTGGGCCCCAGAAGAGAAAAATTGGGGTGGGGGGTCCCTTCAGTGCTTGCTCTGGTGGTTCTGGAGCAGAAGCTGAAGGGGACACCATCCTGAGTGAGCATCGCAGGGCGTGAGAGTGGGGGAGGGACCTTAGAGGTCATCCAATCCCACCCCATCGAAGCTGGAAGGAGCTGAGCCATCTCTTATAGGCGCTTTCTTCCCTCGGTCTGACCATTATTCCACCCTAACTCTCCCCTCTCCAGGGAGAATCAGGGGTCCTCGGCCCCCCTGGCAAAACCGGGGCTGTGGGACCCCAGGGGACCCCTGGAAAACCTGGCCTGGAGGGCTTGAGAGGCGTCCCAGGATCTGTGGTAAGAATGGGGGGCAGCTGCCTCATTGCTTGGGGGGCAGGGGTCTCTCCAGGGTAGGAGGCTGGGAGGGTCTGGGGGGAGAAACACAGTCATGTTCTAGAATTGTGGGTCCTTGGAGGGTGGGGTACTTAGAGTTCTTAGGGGTCCCCATTTCCAACTTTCCGGAAAGGGAAAAGTGGGGCACCCCTCCCTGCAGGGGGGGCTGACATTCATGTTTGGGTCTCCGGTCTCTTTTGTAGGGGGCCCAAGGCAAACCGGGGGCCACGGGCCAGGCTGGGCCCCCAGGACCTGCGGTGAGTAGCCACCCTTTGGGGGAGAGACCAAATGGGTGGGTAGGGGGGCTGTCAGCCACAGGGGGTGCTTAAGCTTCCTTGGGGTGTGTCTTCCTGCAGGGCCCCCCCGGACTGCCTGGCCTGAAGGGTGAGACGGGCCCCAAAGGAGAGAAGGTAGGAGGGAGCCAGATGAGCTGGGTTTGGTGCTCGGTCCGGGGAAGCAGCCTTCCTCTGGGGCAGGGGAGGAAGCAGGGGTGGCATTCTACCAGTTCGGCCTGGTTTGGGTGAACCAGTAGCTCCGACGATCAGCTGAGAGCAAACCACTTCGGTTTACTCCAACGATCAGCTGTTGGGCCCACTCACCAGCCCGGGCTCTAGCCTGTGCTTTATATCCTGGTTTTCAAGCTCAGCCGATTCGTGCGGCACATTGCATTGCTGTGCGCCAGCTGTTTAACACCCAGGGATTGCTGGAGGAGGACAGTAGCAAACACTCCGCATGCGTGTGAAGCGCTCTCTCAACGAACCGGTTGGTACACCGGTTGAATTGCACCCCTGGGAGGAAGCCCCCCCACCTGCTGATCCCCCCCCTCTGTGTCATGCACCTGGTTGGAGTTTGATTCCGAGGGGGAGGTTGAGCAGCTGACAGGGAGTGGGAGCAATGTGGGTTACGGGGGAGAAAAAGGCCCTGATTCCCTTCATTAGCTGCAGCTGGAAAAACAGGATTTGAAAAGGGCGTTTGCGCATAGCACCTTGCTGGAAGCAAAGCGTGCATTTTCTTTGTTTGTCAAGTCTTACCTGGGTTCTCGTGTCCTCCTAACTGGGTGTGTTTCGTTATCTTTGGAAGTCTGCAATTCCTTATCCTGCCTTGTCTCGTTAATTGCCGCAGCGTGGTTTGTGTTGGTTTTTATATATAATTTAGATGTAAATTTATATGTTTGGATTTGGATGGAATTTCTTCACTTTAAAAACTGTTCTTGGGAGAGTTTTTTTTTTCTCCAGATGATGATAACTGGACATTGGGGGGCCAGGTTGGAGGCATTAAAGGGACTTTACCTACTTTTGTGACTTCGTTGCTTTTGTGCCACGCCCCTTTGGGTCATCACACCCTGCCTCTCCACAGGGCCACCCGGGACTCATCGGCTTGATTGGACCGGCTGGAGAACAAGGAGACAAAGGGGACCGGGGGAGCCCTGGCCCCTCAGGGAGTGGGGGTCTTAAAGGAGAGACTGTAAGTGCCTGGGGGAGGGGGGGCTTGAGAGGGGGCTTCAGGGGCTTAAGGACCAACTTAACACCCCCCTGGCTCTCTCCCTGCAGGGCATCCCTGGACCAATGGGCCCTATTGGCCCTGCGGGGGCCCCTGGACTTCCTGTGAGTAGCACCTAATCCCCCCCCCCGAGCCCTCCTACACCTCCTGGACGGAGACCCCAACTCTCTCCTTCTCTTTCAGGGTGGTCCTGGTCCTCAGGGTGCCAAAGGAGCCACGGTGAGGAATGCAGCCCTGCCCCATAGTGCTTGGGGGTGGTGGGGTGGTGGGAGGAGCAAGGGGGGGTGGGGAGAGAAATAGGAAAGTCTCTCCTTGAGGACTAACCTCTTGGTGATTTGATTCCAGGGTGAAGCTGGACCCAAAGGACAGCGAGGAGTCCCCGGGCCCCCGGGCAGGCCGGTAAGATCCCAGACTCACTCTGCCCTGCCTCAGTTTCCCCCTTGGCAGAGGAGACCCAGGAGAGGCCTGAGGGGTGAAGGCCGGCAGATTTTATTTTTCCAAATCTGGCTTAAAAAATCCAGTTTCCTAAAATATTTAAAAGATAAAACCAGAACAGCAATAATGATGCGAGCACTTTGAAGGCTAAGGATTGATCGTGGCCATATTTCATTTGATTATCTTTTATTTTATCGTATTTGTCAGGACTCCAAACAATCCACCCCCGTTCACATCCTAAGTCTCTAGCCGCATCTCTCAGAGAAAACAAAATTGATTTATGAGAAGTGGCCATGTTGGCGTTAGTTGGGTGCAGCCGATACTAAAATACATCCTTCATTTCCCCCCGTGACCCTGGTCTTCCCCCGATCCCTGGATGTATATTCTCCAATGGGACACATCCATAGCCAAGAGGCATCCATCATGTTCTCCAGTAACAATCTTGCACTCCGACAACTTTGGGCTGCCAGGGTGATTATCTAGGCACTTAAGGAATACACTGTTTCCTCCACTCCCTTTCTGCTGACAGCTAAAAAGACCAAAGGAGTATATTTTTAGTTGACATTATTATCTTATTATTATTATTATTTTTCAATAATTATCTTATGATTATTTGATTATCTTATGATTATTTTATTTTTTAAATGTACATATGGGATACTCCTCGACTTACGACCACAATCCAGCCTCAAATGTCCATTGCTAGCGGAGATAGATGTTTTTGACCCATTTAACGATCTTCCTCACCACTGTCCTTAAGCGAATCGCTGCAGTTGTTAAGTGAGTCACACGGTCGTTAAGTAAATCTGCCTTCCTCATTGACTCTGCTGGTAAGAAGGTCGTAGAAGGGGATCTCTGCGGCCATCATAACTACTCTTCAATATCTTCATTAACGAATTAGATGAGGGAATCGAAGGGGAACTTACCAAATTTGCAGATGATACTAAGCTGGCAGGAACAGCTGACACCCAAGAAGATAGGCTCAGGATCCAGATGGATCTTTACAGAATTAAGCACTGGGCCCTATCCAATAAAATGAAATTCAATGTAGAGGAAAGTAAAGTCCTACACTTAGGCAAGAAAAACCCAAAGTACACATATAGACTGTGTGAAACCAGGCTCAATAGTAGGAACTGTGAGGAGGATCTTGGAGTCTTAGTGGACAACCAGCTAAATAGGAGCCAGCAGTGTGCAGCAGTAGCCAAAAAAGCTAATGCAATCCTAAGTTGTATTAACAGAGGGATACAATCAAGATCAAGGGAAGCACTAATACCACTCTATAAAGCCTTAGTAAGGCCACACCTAGAGTACTGCATCCAGTTTTGGTCACCACATTATAAAAAAGAGGTTGAGACTCTAGAAAAAGTGCAGAGAAGAGCAACCAGGAGGATTAGGGGACTGGAGACTAAAACATACGATGAACGGTTGCAGGAACTGGGCTTGGCTAGTCTAGGGAAGAGAAGGACCAGGGGAGACAGGAGAGCATCTTCCAGTATTTGAGGTGCTGCCCCAGAGAGGAGGAGAGGGGTCAAGCTATTCTCCAAGGCACCTGAAGGCCAGAGAAGGAACAATGGATGGAAACTGAACAAGGAGAGATTCAATCTAGAAATAAGGAGGAATTTTCCGACAGAATAATCAACCGATGGAACAGAAGGTGCCTTTGGAAGTTGTGGGAGTTTCATCCCTGGAGACTTTCAAGAAGAGACCGGACTGCCATCGGTCAGAAATGGTGTAGGGAAGGATCGGGGCTTGAGCGGCAGTGAAAAGATGGTTTTCTTGGGGCTATTGTGTTTGTAAAGCGAGGACTCCCTGCGTTGCCCAACCTGCTTGAGGTGGCCCCCAAAGGGGCTGAACCCCACAGGCATCCTGGGCATTGTATGAAGAGGTGCAACTTCTTGGGCAGGGTCCGCCAGGTGAGACCATCCAGCCACTGCCCATTCAGCGTTCCAAGAAGAGCCGGCGCTCGGTGGACGGCAGCCAGCTGGTGGAGGAGCATGAGGAGATGGCGGCCGATGGGGCAGCGGATCAGCCGGCCTTCCGGCGCGTGGAGGAGATCTACGGCTCCCTGGAGTCTCTCCGCCAGGAGATCGAGGGGATGCGGAAGCCGCTGGGCACCCGGGACAGCCCTGCCCGCACCTGCCAGGACCTCCACCTGAGCCAGCCCGAATTGCCTGACGGTGGGTGTAACGGAATAACAGAGCGGGGAGGGACCTCAGAGGTCTTCTAGTCCAAACCCCCCACATGAGCCAGAAACCCTAGACCCTTTCAGACTGTCAAGAGGCCTGCTTGCCTCCCCCAAGGCGATTCCCGGGCCCTCCCACCTGGGACCCAGGGGGCTTCTGCCCCGGAGGGCATGCGATGCAACCCTCTTGGCAAAGGGAGTTGTCCCATGGATGCCGTTGAGCCACTAGTGCCTTCGACAAACTCAGAAGCTTCTGGACTACAACACCCAACAGCCTTGCCATCGGAGGGGGGGGGCAGCCCCAGGTCCTCAGATCTGTCACCCCCTCCAACCTGCGCCTGGCTTCCACCCGGGCTTCTCCCTGAAAGCCCTTTGGGGAACCTTTGGAACAGTGGCGGTATTCTACCGGTTCGGTCCGGTTCGAGCAAACCGGTAGTAAAAAAATGCTACTGTTCAGCCAAACTGTTAGTAAAAAAAAAACAAAAAACAGCTACCGGTTCGGCTGAAGCAGTATTTTTCCCCCTGCTGACGATCAGCTGTTCTGACTATCAGCTGTTCTGGGATCCCCTTTGCTGTGTTACTGCTTCACCCAGAGGTGAAGGCCCAGGAGGCAAAAAAATCGAACGCGGGGAGGGTTGCTGCAAAAAAAAAAAAAATAGACAGAAGAAGAAGCCATGCCCACCAGTTACATGGCCATGCCCACCTAGCCACGCCCCCCGCTGGAGTTGTGGGACACCCACCCCCCAACTGGAAGCTTGGTGGGGAACGTTGGCCCTTTCTTCTCTTCAGGTGAATACTGGATTGACCCCAATCAGGGCTGTTCCCGCGACTCCTTCAAAGTCTATTGCAACTTCACTGCGGGGGGCGAGACCTGCGTCTTCCCCAGCTGGGAGTCTCGAGAGGTGAGGAGGGGGCCCTCAGTTGGGGTGAAGGGTGGAGGGTTGGCCCCACTGGAAGTTCTTGGGGAGCCCGCTGCCCCCCCTCCAAGCAAACCCTGAAAGCCGACGGCCCCGTTTCTGCCATTTGGGAGGGCAGTTTAGGAAAACGAGCGTGGGCCCTGAAATAGGGGAGGTGGCACCCCCTGGCAATGTTTGGGAGAGGGGGAGGGGGAGAGCACCCAGTCTGGGCACCCCTGCATTGCTCCAAAGGCCTGTGGTGGGCACAGCCTGTCCAGGCAGTGGGGCAAAGTCTGGCGTCAGGTTTCCAAGTGATGAAATCCATTTAAAGAGAAAAGAGCAAAGTCCATCTTCCAAGACAAATCCTTTTATTTAGGAAAGCATCAAATTGGCAAAGTCCGTGGTAATTCCGGATCTGACCCAACCCAGAATTACCCCACGATATTAGAAGTTAGAAACAATCCCCAAAGGTCACTTTCTCAAATAGAAGTAATTCAACATTGCTTGACGTCATAAATCAGGGGCCTCAGTATGGACAGCTCGTTTTCTCACGGGAAGAAGAATCTCTTAGCCAAAACAACTCTCTCTATCTCCACTCCTCCACCCCCCCCCTTAGGAATGTGGCAAGCCCGAAACCCTTCCTTCCCATGACTGCCACAGAGAAAATAAGAAAAAGAAAAAGCCTAATTAAAATGGCTACACATAGGTCAATTTCAGGCTTGACAGGCTGCCCTCCCTCATTTGAAAAGAAACCCCTGCAACGACATAAAATACACAAAGATTGAAATTAAGGTTAAACACAATCGTACAAGGCACGTTTTAACTCCGAAATTGACAGCCGGGTTTCGGGGTGAAGGGCTTTGCCGCCAGCCTCTTCTGGCCGAGGCTGCAATTCCATGGTCGCCTTGTGGTCTCCCATCCAGGGACTAAACAGGCCTGGCCCTGTGAAGGCGAGAAAGCCTTTGAATGGAGCAGGAGGGCTGTGGATCCCAGCCCCATGGATCAAGCCCTCTGGGAGTGGGGAGGAGATGGATCCCTTCAGAAAGCCGAGGGGCAGAATTTGGGGCCAGCCACAACAAGGACCTGCTGCTCTTGGGTGCCGTGTCTCTCTCTCTCTGTCTCTCTGTCTCTCTGTCTCTCTGTCTGTCTGTCTGTCTCTCTCTCTCTCTCTCTCTCTCTGTCAGAAAACCAAGCCAGGTCTGGCACTGCTTGCTTTGGCCCCTCCTGGCTCAGGAAAGGCCCCGGGCTCCTGCCACCCCCCCACCCCCAAAATCCATCCTCCACGTCTTTCTCTGGGAAGGCTGGACCTCTGAGGGTTTCCCTTTGCAGGTGCCAATGGATGCCTGGGAG